AACAGAAGCAATATATATATATATATGATGTCATGAAAAAGGCAAAAAAAATGTTTAGGCTTTTTGTTTACATAATTCACAAATATGATAAAAAAAATCAAGTAAAAAACTGTTTTCTGATAAAATGAACTGTTCTACATCTATTCTTTAATCTTAAAATGTTATTTTCAGCAAACGTTTTTTTTTTATACACTATTTTCCGTTTTATCTTACTAACACTAAATCTTGGATTTGATCTATAAAATCATACAAATATTGAAAATATTTTGAATATATGTTTTATAATACATCTTTCCTTCTATAATTGGACGTAATCTCGATGACTCGTATTCTTAGTGGTCATGAAATGTTGTATTTTACATTTCTTTGTACATATAACTAAATAACTATAAAAACGCTATTACTATTTTTATCATATTTGATTTTTCATCCTTGCCACTCACTTTTAACACAGTCTAGTAAAAAGTTTTTTGCTTATAATTTTGTTCTCAATTAACAAACTACCTTAAAACCTTTATTACTATTAAAATAACCATACATATAGTACAATGAAATAACCCAGAATGTGTCTCAACATATATATTGATCATCCGTGTTACCTTAAATTTAAAATTTTTATCGTAGATTTTATATATAATAATTTGCATGTACAGATAGATTAATTTATCACAATGCATACAACAATAATTATTTTGAGCCTCTTTCCATTACAACTAAATTACCTAATGGCCCCTTAAATATCATGAATCAACTGTATTCACTGCCAACGTTATCTCCTTTTGTCATAGTAAAGATCACCATGTGCTACGCCACACCACAATTTTGGTCTTTTAAATTGAAATTTTCGCAAAGTGCCGAGCATTCAGTATGGATACAAATTGTACAGCTCACCTAATCTGCTATATTATGATAACTAGCCATTATTGGTACAAAGTTATAAGTTCTAGTCATAAACTTCACTCGAAAACCATAAATATGTATGTTAAAATAACTGAGTACATGACACTTTTTAATTCATTTTTTTTAGACTTTCCAAATTTTAACTAAAGAAAATAGTTCTAAATATACTTGTAATGAAACATTCCTGCTGATATACAAAAAAGCTGCCACATGTTATATTTTTAAGTTTATTAAAGATTTACAGGTCAAGGATTGCTGTACAGAGTAATCAAGTGAAAATCTGGCTCACAGATTCCAAATGATGACAGATTGCTGTACAGATTCAGAATGTTCACGACTGCTGTAGAAATTATCCAAGGTCAAAGAATGCTGTACAGTTGAAAGTTGTTGAAAAAGTTAAAAGAATCAACGATTCAGTCCACGTGCATGTAATAAAAGAAGTTAAAATGAAGATGTAATCGTGCTTTTTCTTTCAGCAATACAAAATGAATATCTCTATGCCTTGAACTCCTAATAGAATTTTTATACTCGGATAGAAAAGGCTTCAATATTCATAACTATTTATGTCTAACAAATAGCAATTCAGTAATTTGTTCTAAATTTTAAGTATCTTTAACATATAAATAATATATATTACTGAAAACTGAACAGCTAAACTGATTACAAAGAATTATGCAAGTTAACAACCTTATAGCCTATTTTTAATTCTTTGACTCAATTACCCATGTACCCTATACCCTCACCCAAAAAAACAAAACAAAAAAACATTACATATGTTCATATCTTGAGATACGAATTAAAACCAGTAAGGCTTAACTAATTGTTCTATCCATATACAATAACTACCATTTTAAAATCCCATGAATGCTCTGATGAAGGCTTTTAAAAGAGTCCATTATTATAAATACTGGTCTTAGGCTACACAATATCTTCTATCTATGTGTTCAGCTCATCTATTAAAGTTATACTAATTGATTATGTAAAAAACAGAATTTTGATCATTTACTTGATTGGTATGATATGTGTATTTTTAAAGTTAAAATTACACAACAATTAATACTTTTAATAATTTAAACAGATATGACATTCTTATAATATAAAATGGTTTGAGTATAACCTTATGCGTGAAAATTTTCTGTACTAAAAGAATGCTTCATTATAAACAATTATGTGATGTTTGGCTATATCCCTAATACACTATTACAACACCAGAACCTATTTTCTTCTTGCTGTATTACGGAAAACTGAAGAATTATTGGTAAGTTTTTCTGAACATCATTAATTTATAAGCTCAATATGCTGGAAAAATTTCAAGTTTCTTAAAATAATCAGAATAGTAAATTTTACAATAAACATCACTAAAACTTAAATAATGTCTGAAAAAATTAGATTTGTATAAACTGAAGAAAGGACATAAATTTAATGGTTATGCGTATATAAACTTTAACTTACGTGCACAAAATGTGAGACATTTAAACCTCAAGCCAAGTTGTTAGTGACCAAGCAGTTGTAAAGAAAAGTGAGAAATGGTGCAAAAAACCCCACACACACACACACACATTCGGTATGAAATTTAAATCACGTGCATACAGAAAACATACAACATACACTAGAAATTAAGAAACATGAAACAAACTGCACTTTTAAGAATAAATATATATATCCATAAACCTTAGGAATCAATGACGGTTATCTTCTTAACATTAAAGTAGTGCATTCAATATAAAATGTTACGTTCGGGTGTGCCAACCAGTTTAATTGTGCACATCTCATAAAACTCAAATAATTATTACAATATTGAGTTTGCATTGACAAGAAGAAAAATCAACTTTGAATCTTTTAAATCCATAACAAGCTATTAAACAAACATATTTTGTAAACTTATAAATTCTTCTCCAACTATAGATATCACAAAATTCAAATGTGTTGTCGTTAAGATATAACATTTTAAAACTAACTTTTTTAACAACAGTTTATGAATTTCTTTCCACCTTGTGGCTTTGCACCAGCTGCTTATCAAGTCCCTGCCTAAGGAAGAAGCTTCTCCATTGGCCAAAATTATAAAAAAAACTACTACTGGATCCAATGACGGAATTTATAAGTTGATATATTATGCTTGTAACAATGTTATTTTAGAACAAAATACACGTGTTCCTTTATCTAAACTTACACACAGATAATGACGATGAACTTTTATAGTGTATATTTTGCAGGAATTGAAAACAACACAACCATCCTATTGGATAATATAGTGCTAATGGATGATTGTGATTTTTGGGATGAGAAAAATTGACAGTTTAGAAGAAAATAACCATGAATTTGCACTTTCTGTTTTCCAACATTTATGTATGTTATTTGGTAGTGTAAGTCATTAGCAGGAAGAACAATAGTATTTTGTTGGAAATACTTTGAAACAGAAGCATAGCATCAATAGTGCATGATAGTAACACAAACTAAATAAGTATGTGGTGTGCACTAACAATACGTTTTGTGCCTGTTCCTGAAACCAAAACTGTTTCAGTTAACCCTTTGCAATCATCAAAGTTCTTTTTATGTTCTTGGACTTATTACAGTAGCAAAAACAAAGAAAAAAAAATTGTTCTTTTTCCTTAATATATATAATAAAATGAAATCCAGGGAAAAAAACTATGTTAAACTTCAAAACACTTTTGCAAAAATAAAACATTAAAACTGTCATTCTAATTTTCTTAGCAACAACAAAAATGAAAGACTTTGATCAATATTTTGTTTTCAGCACCATAACATTAAGCTGAGGAATCATAATAAATTAACTTTTACTGTGCTTTACATTTTTCACAGCTTCACTGAGTTAACTAACAATCACAGATTTTGATACTGCAAACAATTCATGTTTGTTACTCTCCATATGTATTTTTTTTATAACTTCGGTCAAGCAATAATTTACAGATTCAAACTATTCCGATGTCACAAATATAATCAAACTTTTTTTTTCACAACCGTATGGAGTCAAGTAACAGTTACAGATTCAGGATATTCTGATGTCAGCAAGATAATCAAACACTGATTTTACAAATGTCTTTTTCACAACCTTATTGAGTCAAGCAACAAATACAGATTCAAATTATTCTGATATCACAATATATTTACATTTGTGAGTTTCCATAAATCCTTTTCACAATCTTACTGAGTCAAGCAACAAGTACACATTTCAACTATTCTGATATCACAATATATTCATATCTTGTGACCTTCCACATGAAAATACTAACATAAAACTTTTCCTTTTGGAATACTTTATGTAAAAAGATAAAAGCAAAGTACAATTCTCTATTATAGATAAATGACATTAGATCACTATTATTCCAGTATTTATACCTAAGAAAGCAGTATAAAAGTCTTGATGGGCATATAAAAAAGAACATTGTTGACTTGAAATACAAGTATAAACTAGTATTCTGATGTTACCTTTAGATGATGCAGCTGTATGATTTATTGGAGTTTATTCCACATTGTCAAGAGTGAAGATACTAAATATTTTGCTGTAAGTACATATAGCTATGTAAAAACAGAAAATAATCATATTGGTGTATATTTATTGTAGCTTTTACTGATTTTTGGGACGTAACACTTCAGAAATTTAATATTCAGGATAGAATTTTTTTGGGTGAAGATGTTGCTATTCTATTTCAAAAAATATAACCAAAAATTAAACTGATTATGTGCATAAATGTTGCAATTCTTTTTCAGATAAAGACAATGTGCACAAAAACATACAGATACATTGCGTAACATTTATGCCCATCCCTTTTATTACTCCTCACCGTGTTATGATTTTTAACTTGCTTTAAATTGTGCTTAATTATAACACCTAGAGGAAACTGTAATTTACATACAGGTGTTTTTTCAGTTGTTCAAGAACATTGCTGATGGTAAACAAATTATTCTTTTAATTCAAAAAAAAAAAAATGTTAGTTTTAAAATACTTTCTTTTAGAAAAACAAGCTTTAGTGTTCTGCGTTCAACTTTCATGAATGTTTGTTTAGTTGATATATGCTTCAAAAACATTGTTTACCCAGAAAAAGAAGCTTGACATTAGTATGGATGTATAACACTGTACTTATAGAAGAAAACTGTAATTAAGTACTTAGACTAATATAACTTTACTGGAAGCCTGTTTATACACATCAAACAAAATTCTAGATATTTCATAGATACCTATATTCACAGTTACTATTATGAACATCTAAAACACCAAATATTAAAGCCAAGAAGAAACTAGAACATGTTGAAAAACCTCCAAGTCAACACCCTACTCAAGACAGTGGAACTAAAGGGAGAATGGTTATATTAGTCAGATAAAAAAGGGTATCTCTTTAAAAAAAAAAAAAAAAGATAAATAATACACAATAAAAAAAACAACCTGTAATAAAGATGAGTTCATAAACATTTACATTGTGTGTGTGGTTTTAAAACAGCCATCTATAAGTACTTAGTTTGGTAGATTATTAGAGGGAAAGCAATAAACAAATTACATTACTAGGCACAGAATTAAACCAATTTTTTGCAGTATTATAGTATGGCATTTCTTGCTCATTATATTTTAAATACTAATGACTATCTGATTGTTTTTAATTGTCAAAACATAATATATTGTAACAACATGTTTGTTATTTTTCATTTTATCAATGGGAAGCTGATAACATTTTTTTTGTTCACAGATAACAACTTAGGACTTTTTTCATTTAGATACACAGGAAAACAGACTGATAAAAACCAACATTTTGATTTTATTTTGAATGCTATGTTTATGGTGGCTTACCTTTAGCCACTGTGACAAGTTAGGGTGTAGAAGTGGAAGGCTACTTTATGCATTACATAACATGCATAGAATTAAACCAATATAAACAGGTCATATTCTCCTATGTTTCAGTACTTTAGCGACTGTTTCCTTCTCTTTTTCTGAAAACCCTAGGATACTTTCAATAGCACGAAGATGATTTTTGTTATCCTTATCTACAAGAAAATAGTAAACAGCATCTTTCAAGAACTTTAACGTGTACTCGGCCTGGTGATGAGGTGACCCCGTGGTAGCTCGACGGTAGAGTTCACATCTGTATAATTCTTTGGTTTGCTCTAATTCTTGTTTGGTTTGACGAAGCTGCTGTAGTAGTTCAGGTACCGAGACTCGTTTAGGTGCTCGCTGGGCAAATTCCAATACTTCATCTGCATGCTCAAACTTTGCTGCCTCTTGTCCTTTTCTAAAAATTAAATATGTAATTCTTACGTAAAATCGAGTCCATGGGTAAATGTTGAAAACAACAACTAGATCTAATTCCTATCACTAATGAGTAAGAGTTCACTCTGCAGATCTCCAAGGAGTCTCATATGTACACAATGCACTTGCCGATTTTTAACATTTTTCTGCCCGTTACAAAGCATAAATTTATATTTGTTGAGAAGCCACAATTTATTGAGAATACAGTAGGTCATGTCCTGTTTTTCTCATGATTTTCCTTCTCAACTCAAGATTTTATTATTACAATCCTTCATTCCCATACTTTTATGATGTCAAAGAATATAGTGTGAAAAAAATCACTAATGAAGAGAGCTACAAGTTTAAATACTATTGGATAGAGAAGATTATAAACTATTTAAGTCAATGTAAAGTGTATAACCAATAATTTGTGGTTTCGTTGGAAAGTGAATAGATGGAGCTCAGGGAGAGGTGAATAAAGGGAAGTAATAAGAAGATTAAAAGAAACAGCAAACCACAGTATTTGGGAATCTTTTTTTATTCCTGAAAGTGTTTTCATGTTAAATTACATCTGTTTGAAAGCTACAGAAATCTTTTTTTTCATGACAAGACATCAAGTAAGCTCTGTTATGGTTAATGAATAAAGTTGAAAATGTCAAATATTACAGTGGGCCAAACACTTATTTATTGAATATTATTCTTACATTTAATGTATTCAAATAACATAAATAAAGAACTTATTATTCATTGAAAAGAAACTATATTAGATCTCAATTGATTTTGATCAAGAATATTGTTACAAAAGTAATGGTGCCACTACTGTGAAAGGTCAGGTCATAATCTTAGTCAGTTTTTGCCAAGTTTCTTACAACTCATATCCAGAAATAGTAATTACTACACTAAACAAAATAAAGTATCAAACAAATATGTTAATGAATACCAATCAAGTTGAACCTGATTGGATATATATATAAACATGGATCTTTCTGATCATAATAACAAAAATTTGAAACTGTATTAAGATGGAAGGATTAGAAGTTCATAAGGTAAAAATTATATACTATTATAATATAATTATAATAACATAATAATAATAATATAATATAATTTTTGAGAAATTTAGTTAAATAGTTCTATTGTGATGAGAAAAAAAATCCAAAATTATCAGTGAAACCCACTTGGTTTAAAAAAGTTAAACAGAAATAATGATTTTTTTTGTTATTTTAAAATGGTACGGGGGGGGGGGGACATAGGGTTCCTGGGAAGTGACATAGAAGGATATGATCCAAGTTTCAACCTCCTTATGTTACTCTCCAGGGAGGCCCTAAAAATACAATCCAGGTTTAGTAACAACTGGTTCAGTGGTTTGCTAGTTATAAGTGAACACAAACAGGATTTTACCAAAATAGTTTAGATTCACTGCACAAGTCATAAAAGAAAAGGAAATTAAATGACAAGCTTTTATGCAATTCTGCACCCTTATTAAAAATATTAACAATTAACGTAACAAATAAAAACTTTCTAATGATACATACAGTTCTCATGATTGAGAAACTTATTACAAACTGTTATCAGATTTGGAGGAACTGCTTCTAAAACCGTGTAATTTGGAAGGTTTTGGAATTTGGGAATGTAGATTGTATCTAATTTAACAATGAGATTAGGTTGTAGCTTTAAAATATCATTAGCTGAATTTATTTGCTTTTAATCAATACATATGTCTATTAAACACTGACCTGTACATTTTGAGGTACATCTGGCTGTGCCACTCTTCTTGAGCTGCCATTTCTTTCTTCAGTTCAACCACCTGACTCTCAAAGTATCTGATCTGATCAAGGGCTTTTTCGTAGGCTGGTCGTAACTCTAGGTATCTGTGAGCATACAGTTTCACATGTTAAAAGTTGAATTGAGAATAGACTAGAAAGTAAAGATTTACAAACCTGAAAAAATATGTTCAATTTAACAAGGTATAACCTACTGTATCACAAACAAAACAAAAAAAATATAAAATCAATCTAGCAACTGTTTAAGATCACTCACTAGTTACTTGTTACAAATGGGATATATAGATAAAGCAACATGCACTTTTAAATTAAACAATGGATATATATATTATTGTTTATTTTCAATTCCTTCAGTATAAAATATTAAGTTAAAACAATAAGTGTACCACAGTCAAATACAAAACCCTGATGTATGTATATTAAGACCCTACAGGATGTAAAAAATATATCTTGCAACTTTGCATGTGTAAATGTACGTATACTGAGCAAAATGTGTGTAGTTTTAGATTTATATACACTAGTTTCATGACACAAAACATATAAAACTATCCAAGTTGTTCCTTCAAATTATATTAGTTGTAACAAAATAAATGCCAGCAACTGAAAATAAAATAAGTTTGAATATTTTTACCCATTCTATATGAATTAATTCCTTGTAGCTGAAGTTCTACCTGCTTAAGTTTCATAAATTTAGCACCAGTACGGTATGTGCATCCATACATCTCTTGACTTATTTGTAGAAAAAAATTACACAGCATACAATTTTTTTTTATAAATCCACTTAAGAATCAATGGAAGGGCACTTTCTAACATAAACATTGTTTTTTAACATGCAAAAGAAACTCTGGGACTTACTTGATCCCATGACCTCTGGTTAACAAGGCCAATTCTCTTTCACCGATTCCTAACAGGATTTATAAAAGTTATAATTTTCCTAAATGAAAATGTATTTCTGATAGGTACTTCCTTCCATTCACAAGATTAGCTTTTCTCATTTTGTGCTTCCCTCTATATGCAAACTTTTTCAAAAATGCATGCCACAAGCCTTCATCCTCCCTCTGTTGGAATCCAAAGTTCCAACATGTTTCTCATGCAAATCATCATGCATCACCACTCTACCAATAGAAGAGTACCACTATCACGTAACACATGTAACTCCCTCTACGCACCACTACTAAACTATCATTTCTAAGCTTGACAGAAGATGCAAGCTCCCGAAGATTGTGGGGAGGACGGGTGGGAAGTGTGAGCAGAGGGAGGTACCTATCGGAAATACATTTTCATTCAGGAAAATTATAACTTTTGATAAGGTACTCTCTCCCCCTCTCACAAGATAAGCTTTAATCCCACATTGAAATGGAGGAGGGGACTGGTGCGAGAGAAGCACAAACGTATCCCCTGGAAGCACCCCCAAAATGAGAGGAACAGATCAGATGATCTGAGGAGGGGTACCACACCATATCTGAGCCAGGTATCTCTTTGCCAGAAACATCAACATGATCAGGAGGACCATAAATGGTGGTACATTAAAGGGAACACATCCGCATGGGAGAAGATAGTTTAGCAATGTGATCTTAAACAGAAATCAGAATCACCCAATCCTATGATGGAAAGTGGGGATGTGTCCCATGGTGTAGAGTGGCTAGGGTGTGACAGACCATACTCGGTAAGTCAACTACATCCAAAAGCTCACTTGCTGGGTACTGATATCCTCGCGAGGGTAGTATAAGGATAATACTGTCTTCACCTCATATCCCGGAGTCAAGAGGGAACCTAACATTCTAATCCAGGAACTCACAGGGTAGCCTAATGCCATGGATCCAAAAATGTGTTATCCAGAATCTGAGGGAAGGCCATCACATGCACTCAACTCCTGCAACCATGAAACAAGCCCAGAAGGACCACAGGTCAGTAACAACCTCGTCACCCAATGATAGAAAACCCAGGACAGAAGCAGAAACAGGCCAAACAGACCTTCTGCGACCCATAACAAAGAAAACAAGTCGAGAGGAGAAGATGGACAACCCAAAACCTGTGTGAGGACTTATGTGATTGCTTCACTCAATCTCCAAAAGCTCACTCGCTGGGTACCGACAACCATGCAAGGGTAGGCATTTGGGCGTCTCAACTCTGGGAAGTAGTTACTCATCCAGAGGATCTTGTAATTCCCTCTACATTGACAGAACATCACTACCCTGAATGGTTATAGTCATCTTTGTGGAACCCATCCAGCATTTTGCCTCCAGGTCAACCACCCCAGCAGCTTCGAACTAGAAGAAGGGGGGGGGGGGGAGAGTCCGGAGGAACTGCTACACCTGAGACAGTGCAATGGGTGATCATGAAACCCTATTCTGAAAAGCAGACCATACTGAGTTTTTAAATCTAGACATGGCAGGGGTGGGCAACAATCCCCTTCTACTTTACTCATGCCATCGATGGGTGATACAGTCCCGGGCCAGGCATATTATGATGCAGTTATCACGAGGAATTTACAATCTAGTGATCTTGTGAAACACCTCATCTCAAGGGGGAGTGTACAATGCCATGGAAACTGTATAAGAATCAACATAACTTACTGTGCAGATTTGATAGCAAGATGTCAATGAATTGTTATAGCCATCTATGTGGAACTCATTCTGAGTACAGACAGAATACCTGGTTAGGCACCACTCACCACAGAGAAGGATCCAAATTAAAGCTGAAGCAGGGGCTCCTGAAAGAAAGGAAAGCATCACTGAGGACTTACCTCAGGTCACAGCTGCACCGAAGTCTGTAGAATAGCCACAGGCAGCAGGCGTAGGTAGTGGAAGATAAACGTGTGTGGAGTTGTCCACATGCTTGATCTTAGAATCTCTTCCAATGGCCGACAAAGATCAGAGGAAAGGGAGAAAGTAAGATGATGGATTTGATGTGAGGAAACATGAAAGAGATCATTGCTGGGAAGGAGACAAGGAGGAATAGGCAAACTGGATCAAACATCGAACCCAATTGGTCAGGGTAACCGGGGAAAGATCATGGGAAGAGGAAGGTTGCCATGGGATAAAAAGGCAGGAACAAGGACCCTGGAAGGAAGCCATGCGAGCAATATATTAACAAAGGGCATGGAAAGAACAGAGAAGTCTATCCTGATCTGGATGAGGGTAGAGATGAGATATAATTCATAAGCAGGAGACATGAGAAAGTAATGCTATATTAAAATATTAACTCTACAAATGTGAAGTGTAGTAAATAAAGTTAAAAAATATATAAAAAATGAAAAATAAACCACTTCAAGGTAACTGAATAATGTATATAAAAAAAGGTCTGAACTCAACAGCTGCCAAACAAGAAGTGATAGTTCAGTAGTGGCTCGTAGAGGGAGTAACATACGGTACATGATAGTGGTGCTCTCCTATTGATGGAGAGGTAACTCATGATGATTTACCTACGTTACAAATCTTAAACAACAATAGTATGGTTACCATACTCACAGTAAAAAACAACAACATATAGATGAATAGAAACATTGATTAAAAGTTTTTACACAGGTTTATTACCTACAGCAGAAGTGACATAAAAAACAGAATTATCTGACTTTACAGTGAAATAATTTTGTTGTTTCATAGTTTAGGAAAGAACCATAATTTTCCAAATATAACATACTCTATAATCTTCATGAACAAAGAGTCCAATTTGCTTTACCACCATAAATATTATGCACCTAGACTTTTGCAATACTGCAGTCAAAGTAACCCTTTGGCAAAAAGGATGTTACTGTCGTATAATCTATAACGATTTAAGTGTCCGTTAAATCACTAAAAGTAAGTTTGCCCTAGCACTTTCTAAGTTTGCAAATAAATGTTCTCAAAAACTCACTTACAGCTGGTGTTCATTAGTCATAACCCTCTAAAACAGTCTTGCTACAATGTGATACATGTAATTTGTTCTGAAACATTTCCTCCCTAAGTGTATGTAAAGATGATAGTTTGATTTTATAAAACAGATTTAGAAACACACCATGAAATAAAACCATAACACAACAAAGCCACATTGGCTGTTTATGGTGAAGTACTGACACTTAGTTTAGCACTTAAAGAGGAAGGGGCTATGTTAATTTCATAAGATCAACTTAAAAATACATCTAATAACTCCTGACAGAAATCCTCTTAACTCGCTTGCTACAGACCTGGTTGATTCAATAAATCACGCGACCCTAAATTGACCTTCAAAGTTTCCATACTATAACTTTTAACCTGTATTGTGGATCTTAATGAAATTTTTTTAAGCCTTTAGTAAACATTACAAGTCTTTTGTAAACAAAAAGTCGCTAGCTTTAATTAAGCATTCTAACTAAAATTTATTCCCTGAATATATGGTGGTGATGCCATTTATGGTGACAATGAGAAGTTAGAGAAGTTGCACTAACTAATCAAGGACGATGATTCAGAATCAGAATTTGAAAGTTTCACCATAACAACTTGTAGTTCTGAATATCAAACATAATATAGCAATAACTAGTTTTGTATTTCCAAACATTAAATGTGCACGTAAGTAAATACAAAACTAGTTATTGGTACATTAAAATCTTAAAAATTAGAAGACTTAGTTTCTTGATCATTTTATTTCAAAAATTATGTTTAAAGATACTGAAAATGAATGTAAACGGTAGACAAAATGAATGTAAACGGTAGAAAAAATGAATGTAAACGGTAGACAAAATGAATGTAAACGGTAGACAAAATGAATGTAAACGGTAGACAAAATGAATGTAAACAGTAGACAAAATGAATGTAAACGGTAGACAAAATGAATGTAAACGGTAGACAAAATGAATGTAAATGGTAGACAGATCTCATTTATGCCTTGGAACCAGACAAATTAATAACGCATATGATCAAAACGCAACATTTCTAGCAAATATTCATCATTGTTCTAAACATATGTGAGAAAAGATTATCTGGACTGGCTGTAAAAAAAAAAAATAGATTTGTTACAATATATTGTACACACCCTAACTTTTAGATAAACTTTTAGTGAAAAAAATGTGTATTATGTTTGGAAAGTTAGAGTACTAGATGTATTTATTGATTTAATGAGATACTTCTATTCTTCTTAAAAAATAAAGGAATTTAAATTAATAATTTTTTTATACAATTACATGCACGTTGCTTAATTATACTGAAACTGAGCATGTACGCAGCTTGGAGAATATTATCCAGAGAAAAGTACACACAGAGTATAAGACTAGATTTGATTTTCCTTTATTACACATTAGTGTTTTCTAAAAGAAAGAAAAATACCCACCTTGCATTTATCTCACTCAGATTATGTAGAAGATTTTCAATTCGATCATTGTACTTCTCTCTTAATTCTTGCCGTTCAATAGAATGTTGAGCCTTCAATTCTTCCAGCTCTTTTTGATAGTCATCAAATGCATCTTCCTCAAATATGACCAGATTTCTATTTCTGGAACAATGTGTAATTTTTTCATTGGAAGGTGAGTTAGTCTGATACATCTTACTGATTTTTAAATGCATATTTTGTCCCCCTGCTTCCCGAAGGCTTCTATCCAATTCAGTATCTTGATTTGAGGAGTTCAAAATTTTTGTACATCCAAAAACATCCAAGTTGTCATTACCACTTGTCACAGGTGAAGTCTCAAGTTGTTCCTTTGTCTTGCAAATATCTTGCGTCAAACAACTGTCATGGCTTAACTCTTCATTCTCCACATTACTATTTTGTCCAGACAGGTCAGAAATCTCACTTGAAGAATCTGACAAAGAGGATCCTGCAACAGAATGGTGTGGCTCTGTATTTCCAATATTAAAGTGTACATGCATTTCTTTGATTTTGTCTTCATCCTCTGAATATTTACATGCATTACAATCAGCACCAGACTCAAATGACTTCTGATGAGAGCTACATGAGGAAATAACGGGAGGAGATGATGATCCTACATCAGAGATTACACCACTGTCTTCACAATGTGGTGACTTCCTATCATTTGAGTTCACTTGGATTACCATCTCACTCTTCTTAATGTCTTCAGTGATGGAAAGAATGGAAGTTTCTGTTGGCGTAGAGATATTTTCAAATCCTGTGACTGATTTCTGCAAGATATATATCACACAGTTCAACATTGGTCCCAAACATATGTTCAAACTATATAAATCAAGAAAAAATTAGCACTTTTGATCACATGTTGTAATTACAGGTAGCCAAAAATGTTATTATGCTGCATTAGAACACAACAGAAAAAATTGCAAAATGTTTTAGTACCTGACTATAATGTATTTTAAAAAGTAAATGTTAAGTAATACCGGTGATGAATACGCTCTCCAAAGGTGTAGTACTTGAAAATAGACAAATAAAGTTTACAGTAAACTCATTCATAAAACATTAAATTACTAACAAATTTCCCAAATGGATACCTTGAAATCTAGTTTATGTCAATTTTACAGTATATATGTATAACTTAGCTTCATCTTAAGTAAAAATAACAATATTTCAGTTTTCTTTGTTGGCAGGAATAGATTCTGACCTATTGAAAAGAGCAACTGTTATCTAGTCACACCCGAGATAACAATGCATTTTATTTGTTAAGTAACAACAACATCCACCTAAACAATGATGCTGTCATTAAAAAAATGTTGCTCAAGAATAATAATACCAGAAATTTATTTATTCAATGAAATTGTTTTAAATGATTATTTGCTAAGTTAACAAGTCTTATTACACTTAAGCAAATTTGACTTTTTTTATTGTTGTAAACTTGGATGAATTGCTAAAATAAATTGATATGAAGCTAATAACTGCTTTCAAAATGAATGAGATGTGTGTGTAGGTGAGTGTGGTGCAAGTGTGGACATAAAGTTAAGGTCATACTGGAAATTTATTTTATTAATAAAATGTATGTGTGTTTACATATATTTGTGACTGTATAAAACCTGGCATGCATGGCTTGAAGGTTAGGGTGCTCAACTTGCAATCTGAGGAATGTGATTTCGAATCCCTGTTGTCAAACATGCTCATCCTATATGGTTACTGTCTGAGCCGCCACCTGTGTGTAAAACAATTTTAGGGTTCCAAAGTTACCACCTGACCCAAGCTATTATTCAAGGGAAGCTAGTTGGGATT